AACCCCAAAACCCCGAATATAAAAGATGTGTAAAAATATTCTCATTAGTGAAAATAATTCATCAACTAATTTAATTGGTTCAAAGATTAATAATTTATCTGATATAAGTATCTCTATATACATTAAGCAATTAATAACACTCTATTAACAAACCATGGAAAAAAGTTCACATTAACCTGAAGAAGAGCAAAAGTAGACTGCTCAAAAGCAAGATTCCAACACTATTATGCAAACTCCACTGTTCTTAAACCTTGAAGAGAACACTCCTTGTATGTTTATAATATTGCTTGTTAATTAAAACTAATTTAATCATTTTAGCTGAGGAAATCGAATCATTGTGCATGAATTGCCAAGAAATGGGAAAAACTAAGTTTTTATTCACAAAGATTCCGTTCTTTAAGGGTATTTATAATTTGAAGATTAAGACATCTATATAGAAATCATCTTATCATCATTTGAATGCCCTAATTGTGGATGGAAGAACACAGAAATCCAATTTGGAGGCAAAATTGCAGACTTTGGCATCAGATATGAACTTAAAGTTGTAAACTAAGTGAATATGAACAGAAGCGTTGTTAAGTCAGAGAATGCTACCATCAGAATTCCTGAGTTAGACCTTGAAATTCCACCCGAAACATAAAAGGGAACCATTAACACACTTGAGGGATTCATTGCTAAAACTATTGAAGGACTTTAAGATCTTCAAGAAGAGAGAAGAGTAAGTTATTAAACCATTAAGACTTTTTCAGAAAGTTGATCCAGCCACAGCAGAGAAAATTGATGATTTCGTCAACCGCATGCAAGACTATATTGATGGCAAAAAGTTCCCTTTCACTTTTATTGTTGATGACCCATCAGGAAACAGTTATGTTCAAAATCCTAATGCTCCAAGCAAGGATGAATACTGTACCACTGAATTCTACCCTAGATCAGCTGATGACTATATCAAAATGGGTTATAACCCAGAATTGGCAGAATCCTAAGCTGATGAAGATAAAGCTAAGCATGATGAGTTCGTAAAGGACAAATCAAAGTCTAGCTCCAGTAAGATCAAAGCAAAGAAAGGCCAAACTCCAGAGGAATAGGAGGCTATTCTTGCCAAGATTTAAGCTTATGCAAGCAGAAAGAAGGATGAGGAAATCACAGCAAGCAATATGGATTTCTCAAAGCCAATGGATGATGCATCAAATACATACGAAGACGATGATGTGAGAAAGGAAGTTATGAGATTTTCAACCTACTGCTATTGCTGTTCAAAAGAAGGAGAAGCAAAAATGTGCATTGCAACAATTCCATTCTTCAAGGAAATTATTATTATGGCTTTCTGCTGCGATTACTGTGGTTACAGAAACACCGATATCAAACACGGAGGTGGTATTTCAGATAAAGCTACAAGAATTGTTTTCAAATGCGAAAAGCCAAGTGATCTTAACAGAGACGTTTTCAAGAGCGATACAGGTATTATGGCAATTCCAGAATTAGATTTCGCAATGGCTCCAGGAACACTTGGAGGAGTCTACACTACCATTGAAGGCTTGATTGATAAAGTTGCAGATAACCTTGAAGAATTCAATCCATTTGGCAGTGGAGATAGCTCAACCAACAAGAAGTACGTTGAATTTATCAAGAAATTAAGAGGATTAAAAGATATGTCCACTCCCTTTACTTTAATTCTTGATGATGCTCTTTCTAACTGCTTTATTTATAATCCATTTGCTCCAGAGGATGATCCACAAATCAATGTCACCGTCTACGAAAGATCAGAAGAGCAAAATGAAGAATTAGGTATCAATGATATGAACTGTTGATGATCAGTTTTGTCAGAAGTCGAATGTTTTGATATAAATAAAATTAAAAAATATTTATTTCGCACATCAGATTTATTTAAAAAGTTTTCCTTTATTAAATGAGAGATAATCTTTACGGGGTTTTGGGGTTTTGGGGTTTTGGGGTTTTGGGG